GAGAGAACTGCAATGCTGAGGCTGACTGCCTGGCAGCGGTGTGGAGGGAGGGAACAGCGAAAAGGCAACGAACTGAAATCGAAGGCTCCCGGCCGGTGACCAGAATAAAATCCATAGCTGGTCACAGCCCCTGCACAGGTAAGAAATAAGTTGGTTTGTCCCCAAAATGCTGAACAGTACCATATGTTCAGCTCCTGATGCGCCCTGATGCGGCCGTGCCTCCCCGCCTGCAACAAGGGTCCCATCCCGCTGCTCCTGGGTTGTGTCTTTCCCTCAGGCTGGGCTAAAATGCCCCCGGCCAGTTTGCATCGCCATTTCTCTGTCAAGCGACTTCATTTTATGTATTTGCACCTTTTCCAGTCCATGAGTCATTAGCAAATATTGGACAGTTTGAACCTCATATTGGTTTCTTCTTCACTTTTTCATGGAAGTGTTGAGTGTTGTCAAGTCAGATTCATTATTGAGGAGTGAATTCTTTATATCACCATCAGCTGTGAACCATGAGCTGCAATCAAAGTAAGACATCAATGTGATTTATTTTAATCGTATTTATTTCCTGTAATTTTTTATTCGAGTCCTTTATCAGCTGTTCCACATTTTTGCCAAGGATCAATTTCAAGCGGTAAATCAGTAACAGTATTAGCCTTATAAATACTTGGCTTGCCCAATTTGCCATTTTAAAACACTGGCACAACTTCAGCTCTCTTCCAGGCTTTTCAGCAACTTCCTCAGCACTTCGGTGTTACTGAAAATAATGGTGATTTAAAGAGCTCCTTGGCCACCTCTTATATTTGATGAATATGCTGGCAGTTTCATGATGTTCAGCCAGGTTGTACCTCAGTGGGGATGTAAATTTTGCCATGGATGTTTTACCCCACCATTCCCATTTGGAACATTATTGATGCCCATATTATGTTCACCAGGACTTTGCTGGTGTTCCAGTTTGCTGCTGTAGCAATGCAGGTAAAATAAAGGATTGAAGAGTAAAACATTGACAAGCCCCTCGTGAACAAAGCAGCTCAAATCACTACATTGCAAAAGTCACTCTGACACTTTGTCAGTCGTACCTCACCGCAGCAATCACTGGAACTAATAGTCATTAATTACCTTTGTCAGATGAAATATCTTTAATTGCCTGCAACTTTACTTGCAGGAAACTCCCACTTTAGCTGCCGCTGCCAGTTTAAAGGCCATGTCTCCCAGCACTAATTTTTAGGAAAAGTCCAGGAAAATTAACAGGGCATGAAGTCACGTGTGGCCCACCTCCAGCTGTGCAGGATCAGAACGTGTCCTGGAGTCACCTGCCTGACCTGCCTGCATCGAGAAGAAAGGTCAATGGGATGGGGGTGGAGGAGGAAGGTGGTCAGCCAACCTGTCATGTAATCCAAGGGCACTCTTTTGTGACCTTTTCTCCTCCCTAAAAAATAAAGGAAACATGGTAGCAGACTGCCTGGAGAGCTGCTGCTCCTTGAACCTTGACAATATGCATTCAGCACTGCAAGGAGACATTCAGCAGACAGCATTCAGCACGCGCCATGGCTGCCCTAGCTATCAAGCTCCCATACAGATGTTCATTGAACTGTCAGAGCATCAGGAGGAAAATAAATTAATTGTAAGTGGAAGAAGGTTAGTTAAATCTTTTCTGGAAGTATTATATAGCCATTAAATTGCATGTGAAACTCAATAATAATGGGTAATAATGTTCTTCCGGGGAAT